CATCAGCATGCAACAAAACAATGGGTCTCCTGTAGTCTTAACATTGGGCAGGGGAAAGGGAATCTCATGAAAAATAGATAAATTTGAAATGCTTTGTTCATAGCTGTACTCATTTTATCATGTGCTCTTCCTCCATTTCACTTCTCCTAGTTCTGTAAATCTTGATTCTCCTTTCTGAAAGAGAGATTACTTCATCTTCTACAGTGGTTGTTCCATCAGTATCACGAGGTATCAGTATGCTGCCAGGATCTGGGAAAGTTTTATTTGGTGGCTCAGAACTTAAGAAATAAACCTTGATCAATTTGGCTACTCTGAGCAGCTAATTCTGGGCAGACAGGACATCACATTTAGCCTAGTACTGTATCTGGAGTAGCTTCAGTTTCTGGAAAAGTTAACATAATCTTGGTGCAAAATCAGGTTGTCAAGATTGCCAATACTTTTTCTTTTAGAAAAGAGAGTTTGGCATCGTGCTGCCTGTATTGCTAGATGGATAAAAGCAGTGATTATCCTACGTTAGCCTCTTAAAGTACCATCACCAGCTGGAAGCTGAATTTATTTCTAATACAACTAATGAAGTGGCTTTTTTTGAATCTCTGCCTACTGCATCTTTTTTCCTCCTGTCATTTAAAATACCCTCTCTTACGGCAATCATATGTACAAGATGTATCAGTGAGTTAAATAACTTGTCAGTCAAGAAACGGTTCCCACAACTCATACAGTGATTCTGCCAGGAAAGAACATGGCTGGAATTCCTTTCTTAAAGTCATTTCTAGCTATGAAATCAGGGCATCACATTACCATCTGTCCCCATCAGCCCCATACCAAGGAGTTAAGGTAACACTACCTGGTCACTTGCAGAGTTGTTAAATTTTACCTGGACAGACCAAAGTCTCTCAGGCAGCCAAATGCTTTGTTCATCTTTTATGCTGGCAAGAACAAAAGCATAAAAGGCCTCCAAAGCAAGTGTCTGCTGGTGGGTGCAGACAGCTATTGTTGAATCTTACAGGAATGCTGTTAAAACTCCTCCTTCCAGACTAAGTCGCATTCTGTGAGGGTTATTTCAGCTTCTTGGAGACAGAGGAATGGAGCTTCTTCCAAGGAGAGTTGCTGAGCTGTGACCTAGTCCTCACTCCTTTATTTTTTTATTTTTAACAAAGTGCTGCAAGGAGGTTGTCACATCCTCTTCTGATGTTGCATAGGGATAGTGGATCTTACAGTAGGCCACACTCCCCTATTTTTCTCCTTTGTTTTCCTCTTCCCTCCTTTTTTGTGATGTAGAAATATATGTTCCCATGCAAATATACTGCTTGCTTTGTTCAGACAGGTCAGATGCTACTGTTAGTATGAAATCAGTGTAAACTGAAAACATTCTGGGTATTGGTATGTAAATGAGTGTGCTGACCTGGCTGGAAAAACTCTGCTCCAGGTTTAAAACGGCCTGTATTTGGACTGTGCAGGATGTGGGCGCTTTGAAGCACTGTGGGGTGTGCGGTGCACTCTGTTGCATGCAAATCTGCAGAGTGCTTCTAGTTCACAGTAGCGCCTGTGTCTGTACTGGATTGGGTGCTCTGTCCAAAGCTTTCTACGACACTTTTATTTAATGCTGATTTGGCATTTAAACTCACTGTAGCAGGGATTGTTTTTCTGCTGAAGGTAACAGTACTCTTATGCCTTTTGAACAGGATGTATCTGCATATAAAACACAAACCTGATGCTCTGTTGTTGAGATTTGAGCCTGGGCTAGTTATTTTTGCCTATTTATGTATCTGGTTCACATTTCTTTTGGATGGTAATCTTACCTGAGACTAATTGAGCTGTCTGCGTATTTGCTCATCATATGTTGTTAATTTAAAAATAAATAAATAACCTTTTGGGGATTTGGGAGGAAAAGTGTTATAACTCAGTTTCCCAACATACTCAGGCTGTACCTGGTAAAAAGTCTGAGATTATTGCAACAATGCTAAGTGAATTAATATTAGAAATCTTTTTACAGCATTTTGATTCCCATCTGTCAGGGGTTGTTTTAAGTTGTCATGGACAGTTGTAAACCTCTTTAAGATAAAAATGGTGTAGTTTGTCCCTTTTGTGATATAAACTAAAGCTTGAGGGGAAAGCAGGCTACGAAGTAGGTTAGTGCAGCGTTTATTACAGGTACTACCCAGTAGTGTCCAACATGGCAGTGGTTACTATAATACTGTTGTTTGTTTTCACAAACCAGCACTTCATAGTTTCTGAGTGAACAACTGCTGAGAGGAGACCGTAACCTCTTGATTTCAAAGCAGCCATCATTTCACTGGTGCCTCTGTGGTTAATGTAAGAAAGGTGTTTTGCCATAAAGTTTTCCGAGGTATTCAGTGAGGTTGGAAAGGGGTCGGCCCAAGCAGGAAGCCCTTGTCTGTGCTATAAAGAAAATAGCAAGTAACAAAATGAAAGCATCAAAGAACCAACAGGATGCAGTCCCATGAGTCCTTTCTGGCATGTTGGTCCTTCTTGAAAGTTAGCATTGAGTGAAGAGTGACCTTAAAACTCACTTCATTCAAACAGACTGAGCTCAAGTTTAAAGTTCAAGGCATTTTGTTTTTTCACCTGTTTCCTACAGTTTTAAGAAACTTCTGAAGAATTAATGTGTAACTATATCTGGTCACTGAGCCAACACTAAGAATTTTTCTCAAGGGAAAATAATGTTACTGTATAAAGGGAGAGAAATGGATACTTTTCAGAGTTGCAAGAAAATATTTCAACATAATAAAATCCAAGCCAGTCTTACCATGATCACTAACATCCCTGGAGCCACCACAATAGCATGCTCCCCCATCCCCCCCCACCCCCACCCCGCTAGTAGGATCCAATAATTGTCTGAATCATTGCAGAGAGGATGTTTATTATAGGATCTACTGTTGTTGGGGGGAAATGAGGCAGTGGTCTTGTTTTAGAGAAAACCTTGGAACAAAGAGCCTAATTGTGACAGTTTAGTCTAATCTGCAATTACAGGTTGACTATGCCAGCCTTTAGCAATAGGTCTCCTGGCCTTCACTTTCACATAGTATTTGAATAGTTATGTAGTAGGGAAAAAAATAAAGCACTAAGCAAAGACTCTGTCATTAGACCAGCTTATAAGTGAATACAGTATTTAAACCTTGTTACTACTAATGTTCAGCACCAACTCTGTTTTTTTCCTCCTAGTATTGTTTACAGCTGGCTTTTAGTCTAACCCAATAACAGGTTCTGATTTCATGATCCTAAAACCCAGTTATTTTACCTTCCAGTCTTTAAACCTAGCTTACCAAAATGACAAGTGATAGGTTGCATCAACAGTTTGACAGGCTGTCACTCATAGTTAAAAGAAATAGTTTGAAGAGATGACATACAGATTTCACTCACATTTTCCCATGTCATTAAATTTTAATGACTGTACTATGAATATTTCATGAAAGAACCTTTTGAATGGGCTTGTTTTGTCTGGGAAGCTAGCGTACGTTATAAGGTCTGATTTTTCTCCAAGGTAGCTTAGTAAAGGTATGAAATGTCAAAGTGGATTACCTGAGAAGGGGCAACTTTTTGTTTTTCACTGTTGAATATTCAATCTCTGGCTGCATTCTAGAGCTATTTTTAGTAGTTTGTTTAAAATCCTTTGTATGAAAATCCTAAAATTTAAATCCTTGCTCTTTACTGTCTTGCCACAAGGTGGCTGAAATGTATTTAAAGCAGACAAAATATAGATACAAGAAATGATGCTTATCATTTGTGGTTCTGCTTCTGTAATATAATGTGTAGCAAACAAGATGGGGGAATAGATTTGCTGTTTGTTATACACAGAATTGTCTAATTTATTCTTATAGGAAATGACATTCAGCAAAGATCTCCATTACGCACTTTTATTTCTCCCAATGCTCTATTTGGGCTGTGGTTAATTTTTTAACAAAAGTCCAAATCAGTTTGTCTTGGATTAATGATTATACTAAAGTGAATTGACCTGCTAAACTGCAGCTGGAAATACGCAGGGTAGGCAGTCTCTCATTTTATTTTTAAGTCACAATTTTGGAGGCAGGGGAGATTGAGGTGTTACTCTGAATGCTACGTTTAGATACTGTTACATGCAGGAACAGTTACTAACCTGTCATATTCCTAGCTGATTATTTTTACTGATGTTGTTCAGTGAATGCTCTCCTTTAAACAAACGTGTCAAAAACTAAAACTTCAACCAGAAAGCTGTTATGGAAGTGTTAAACAACGCTGAATCTTCACTGGAAGCACTGTATATAGATTGGTCCTAAATAGATTCCAATGATATGATATTAAATGCCAAACTTGCTTTGGTAGACAAAGATTGGGTGCAAATATGTCTCATTTCAATAATACTTAATGCTTCCCCTTCCAAACTTTTTCAAAGAGTATCTTCTGATGTACAGTAGGGAAAGTCTTTTGTTTAATGGAAGTGAAGCATATCTTTTTCTGATGGGAGTACTTGCTTTTGAGTTTTTCTGTGCATTTTAGTTTTCCCTTTTATTTTTTAACTTATTAACTCTGACAAGTAACCTCTTGGTTGTGAACAATTTAATTCACAATTCATTTTTCTGATTCAAAGTGAACACGAGTGCCCTAATCCCCTAATGGGAATTAATTGCATGTTTCAGTGCTTAACTCTGATCCTTTCTCAATCCCCACTGGGACAAGTTTCTTCCTGAAGGATCTGTGTTTGTTATTCAAAACACAATCTGAAAGGTAATGATTTTTCTTATAAAAGGGAGTCAGAGCAACCGAATATTAATGTTCTTTTTATTGTAAGGGAATGAGCTTTATCCAAAACCTCATTTTATGTCAGGAAGGGGAAATTACACTGAACTATATCTGATAAAACACTGAGCGAATCCTGGTGGTCTTTTTTGTCCACGTGAAAGCTGTTTAAAGTAGGTTGCTTTTTTTGTGGTTGGTAAAGAATATTCTTGTATGGAAATGAGTTGTTTCCTTCACTGAGAAAAATTACCATGGCAGTAGTCAGAAGGGACACTGGACATTTTAAATGACACTCCTGTTGACCAGTAATGTGACCCTGTGATTAATCTAACTCTAACCCATCTGCCATATTTGGTAGCTCACGAAAACAAGAACAAATAGTGGAAAACATGTTAATCCTTGATTCTGCATTTGTTTTTTAAAGGGTTTCATACTATTTGAATATTGTTTATCAAGGCTCTTTCAAAAAGAGTCCCAGGCTCTCCTCTGATGTTCTGTCTGGCAATTAGCTGCCAAACTGCTGTGTTGGGTGAAACTGAGACAGCCTCTGAGCAGCTTAGTGACTGATGGAAAAATTTGGAAAAGCATCAAACAGTCTGAAACTGCTTTTGTTACACAACAACAATGAGGGAGGAAGGAGGAGATACTCTGAAAGATAGCCAAGGAACAGTGAATCTAGGGTTTTTCATATCTTTCACTATAGCAACCCCTTTTTCCTTTGAAGGGTATGTGCAAAATTAAGCCAAGACTGAACAAAATATTTTTATGGCCTGGACTGTCAAAATTTGCAATACCTATGAAATGCAAATCACAGCAGGAGGTCAGATTTGGCATCTGAGGAGGGCTTGAACTGTGTGTCCTGTACCTGCCTCTTGCCACCCATTGTGAACGCTGAAATGTACAGATTTTCTTTCAACTGATATGTGTGCAAATCATAATTTACTGTTCAGGCAGGAAAGAATGGCCCTGTTGTCAATGTACTTCTAAGAACCACCACCTCTGGTGTTTTCCACTCGGTATATTGTTTGTCATCTGATTGTTACAAACACGAGGGAGAACCTTGCTGTCTAAATGCCTGAGTCCCTGCACTTTTAACTATAGCTTTTAAAATACCACTGATTTCATTTCAGATCTAATTTTTCCAAGCATCCCATGCAAATCTGGTATTATTTAGATTATTTGCAGTGTTTGAATTCACAGATGCTGACTCATGAAGCTGTTACAGAAAATTCGTCAGTACATTGCACGAAACAACCCCACGCTACACTGGGCTTTTCCCACTGCAGTCTTACTCTGCCTCTCTTTGAGACATTGCCTTTCCCTTCAAAAGCTGGTAGCACACATTTGTACAGTCCTCTTGTGTCAGGGGCATTATTCATCCTCTCTTCTGCTAATGCCAGAGTTCATCCCTTGTCTTGGTGAATGCCCAGGCTGTATATATTTAGATCACTGCTCCTACAAACATTGCCACAGCTTTGCTCTTGCTTCATTTCCAATTTCATGTTGTGACCCAGCTTGTAGCACTCTATGGAAAAATAAGCCTTCCTATCTCTCTCCCTCTCTGCTAAATGTTGTCATGCAACATAGCACGATCTTGTGTTCAACCACTTTAATTTTGTTATCAAATGACTAATGCTACATTATTCCACGAGACAAGTAGACACGCAAGCTCCCATACTGAAATGGAGCTACTGTAATCTGTAAGAGCAGAGATACAGTTGCTTCAGTATGGAATATTACTCTAGCAAAAGGGGTCTCTGCTATGGGGAGGGATGAACTTAATGACACATTTTCTTTTATTAGGGAAGAAAACACCCAAGCAGCTAGGACTCCAGTCCTCTGAGATCACTAGACTGAATGTATCAAATGCAATCTTAAAGATTCCTGTCTTCAATCCTCTGTTTTCTAGCCATACAGGTATAATTTAGAAATGTTACTGCCAGTACACAGTACATGTAAGTTAGCTAGTTAAGTAAAGAATTCTCACTGGTTTTGGTAAAGGACATAAAAACTGTATAACAGTGACAAAAATAATCATCTTGGTTTGAATCTATGAACCTATGAATCACCAAGTATTGTCCCGCAACAACTGAAGCAAGACTCCTGTAACTGGGGGAATCAAGAAGCAATCTAGTTTCACTAAGGTTCAGAAACATCATTACTGTAGTCCATTACCCAAGTTACCTGTGTGCACGTACTTCTAGAATATGCTAAGTTTTCAACTAAAAATGTTTTACAAAGCAGTTTTCTTAGTAATACTTATTTTTGTCCTTCTCAGTTCCTTCTGTAAGTAGAATGGCCCATGTCTTCGTGTATGGTACCCTTAAAAAAGGCCAGCCTAACTACCAGCACATGATCAACAGTACCCATGGGACAGCAAAATTCCAAGGCAGGGGCCATACTGTGGAGAAATACCCTTTGGTGATTGCAGGAAAATATAACATTCCTTATTTGCTGAACATGCCAGGAACAGGCCACCATGTTGCTGGAGAGATTTATACTGTTGATGACCAGATGCTGCAATTCCTTGATGAATTTGAAGGCTGCCCAGACATGTATCAGCGTACTCCAGTGAGAATTGCAGTAGTAGAGTGGAAAGGTAAAAGCAGTGCACCTGAAGAGAGACCAGCTGTTAACAGCATTATGGAATGCTTTGTGTATAGCACAACTACCTTCCAGCCAGAGTGGGTAAATCTCCCATACTATGACAATTATGATTCCCTTGGGAAACATGGCCTTTGTTATGTGCTCCGTGAAAGCAGAGATTAAAAATGGAAGATAACGACGTACCTGAAGAAGATGCATTAAGCCTATGTTGATCAGAAGCCTCTAAAGTAAAGCTATAATACCATGGATTGAAACATAAGACATCTGTAAACTTTCAACCACAAACTTTATTGATTCTAAGGTTAGGATAAGGCCAGAAACTGACACCTAGCCTTACTAAATTCTATTTGCCCTCTCACCCAAGGAAAATAATTGGAGGTTTTCAAGTGGTGAAGGATATACCTTTGGTTTCTGCACAGTATAATCATCAAAATAAAAGGGCAGATAAATGAACTTATTTTTTACCAGATTTGGTGCATTTTCATGACAGTTTTGCAAGCCTGGGAAAACAAGATGATGAAATACAGCTAAAAGAAGTGCCCTGCGAAAATGACTCAGCTTTAAATATTGGCTTTTGTATTGGTATTTATTTTACTGCACAGAACAGCAAATGTGTACTGAATCTATGTTAAGTGCTGCATGAAAGAATTTAGACTGATACAGGAATCATGGTAAAGAGAATTAAGAGCATTCTGAGACTAGAAAAGAATGCCTGTTGCTCTGCATTGTAAAATAAACTATTCTGGATTTTCTCTGTTAAACATAACTGGTTAACTTGATAATAAGTATTGTTGTGAGATCGTTTAAGTCTAAGACATCATTGAATGAAATCTCAGGAATATCAAAGAGTTAAATTTAAACTCATGTTTTTATTTGGTCCCAGTAGACCAGACTAGCACTTTTGGTGCCATTACGGTCCACTGGGTAAATCTGTGTTTAGGGACTCTTAAAACACTGGTTTTAACTGCCCAACACACTATAACACATATAAGAGTTCGTAACAGCGCTTATGTATCAGTGAGACGTTAGCTAAAAGTCTTGAAGAAACCTTTCTTGCAAAAATTGCATGTGTGCGCAAACTAAGCTGTCTTATTTAAGGGGAAAACATTTTTTCAGTCATATAATTTAAACCCCCCCAAGGATGTGGTGAGTTAGGTGTTTAAATCTGGGGCAACATTAGTTTAAGGCAGAGATTTAATCCTTTTTTCCCCTTCCCCCTTTTTGCACAATTTGGACTTAATGCTACCTGCTCTGTCCTGTATGTTCTTTGGGTATAACATTAATAAACCAAATGTTACATTTAATATCCAAACTTGTGACATTAGGGAAGTTAAATGTATAATATTTTTCATGTGGAAAGAATGTAATTACATTTTTAATGAGGCTTCTTGCAGTGGGCAATACCATGTCAGGACTACGTCCTCCCCTTGTTCCACAGCACATATCCAACTGATGACAATGGGAGATTTGCAAACTGATGTAGGACATAATACGTTCTTATTAAATTCTTAAACTTTTAATTAGTAAAGTTACTATTGCAGGATCATTCAAGAGGAAATGATACAGGGCACTTGAAATTCCCTGGTAAAATATAATCAGTCTTTTTTCAGACTGCCTAACACAAGAGTACACTGAGTCGCATGTAGATTTTCTTCAGTAGTATCAGGCTAAAATATGTGTTGTTTTTTTTTTTAATGAAGGGCAATCTGTAGACTCTGACCTAGGTCCACTTACACATTAAGCAGACTGAGAGATTGCCACAGCCTGCTCCAAAACTAGGACAGTGGAATGGAAACACTATTGAATATTGAATTAAAATATATTGATTCCTGACAGGGTAAAGTGGTGAGATACAGAACAGGAAGTTAAGCATGCTTGAGTCCTAACCTGACTAATTCCTTTCTGCGCTTTGGGCAAATCAGCAAGCCTTTCATTGTGCTACTCTTCTCTGCGGGCAGGGAGATGGGTAAAGCTGGTGGAATGGTGCTTTTAATTTCTCTCCCTCTGCATACATTAAGGACATTTGCACCATTGTAAAGGCAGTCAGTACACTAGTCTGAGTGTCCTTAATGGACACAGACTTTCAGCCTCAGTTTCCCCATTTGTGAAACAGGGATAATAATTATCTATTAAGCACACAGCTGCAAGGTAATGTTATTCTGCAGGCATTAGTTAATTATCAGCAATAGAAGCAGCTCAAGAAGCATTATATTACCCTCTACCAAATTAAGTAGAAATTGCCTTCTAGCAAAGGCTCACACTTTCACACTTGAGTGTATAGACATCTTAAATCAAACATCTCAAGCAAAAGGAGTCTTTGGGTAAAATTTGAATTTGAAAATAAAAGTCACTGAGATTTGCCTAAGTCATATGGATGCTTTTGGAAGTGTTACCTTTTATCCCTAATATATAAGATGCTGAGCGTACCCCCATAAGTAGATGAGATCCTTCTAGTAATGGTGAACTACCACAGATTCATATGTTCCCCACCCCCACCTAGCCCTCTCCGGTCAGCTTACTTTTGGGTAGTTGCAAAATTCACAAACCAGGAGTAAATAAACTTCTCTCTTAAGCTGCTTCTTTTTTTAAACTGAAGATGGTTTGCACAAAATACACTGAATCCAGCTTCACCACCAGCTGGTCTGGTGCTCTGAGGTAGTGGGAGGAAACTAGAAAAATACAGAAATCCATGCTCACCAATTAGGAAAGGTCTTGCATTTTGTTCTTCATTGCAGATGTTCTTGTTTGGTCAATGAGATGGGTATCAATAGAATATCTTATAGCAGGAAGGACTATCGCTCTATATTCCCTCCATGTGCACTCCTTTCCAGGTCGTATCTGACTTCTCTTATTGTATTTTTAGTTTCCTACCACTATAAGGCAACTGTAGATGGTGCTAAATCACTAATTGTCCCAGTTCTTTTTGTGGAGGTACTGCATAGTAGCAATTGATAGTCTACTAAATGTAGTAGGCTGGAGTTAAATCTTCCTCTCCCATGAGTGCTTGGAAGCCTATACACTTACAGGGAGGAAGAACCTGCCTCAAGCGTCATCTTGGGATGGTTCAAGAGCTGGGCCAACTATTTCCAGAAGAGCCTGCATCAAGTGAAGAGTGGAAAGGAAAATGAGAGAAGGACTTTGGAAAGGAATACAATTCCTGGAGGTCTGCGCATCAGATTGTGGAAAAAGTCTGCCACCAGCAAAAGAAAACGTTGTAGGTGTTCTAAGTATATTCTGTGCAGTAACTTCAAAGTGCTAATGAATATAATAAATCTGAATAGAAATAAAGTCCTTTGCAATAACTGTTTAATGTCTATAACACTCAGTAACAGCAAAATTGCTCAGTTTGTTCTTTGGGGATTTTTTTACTTTTACTCATTACTTCATGAAAGTGGGTTCATGCCCATATGAACTAACATGGCTGAAGTTATTTACTTAAACACTCAAAGAGGCTTTAGCATTTTAAAGAAGAAATACTGATTTTTTTTAATTGAAATTTATTGGATATTGAAAATCAGAGACCGTTACAAATCTTATGTACAAGTACCTATGTATAGAAGTAAAAATCTGAGATCTGTTGTCAGTTTTGGTAGCTGCATGGGTCATCTTACATTTATGCAATAAATACAACTATGAAATCTGCTGCCTGGAAACATCTGTCTTTCAGATTTCCACATAATATTGCCTTCGTTTTATATTTCTGATAGATAGACATAAAGAGTTCATTGACCTGGATGAAGATGTGAAATAAATGTGTTTCATTCCAGTTCCACCAGCAGATCTCCTTCCCCAACGGTCTCACCAGCCTTACAGTGCACAATTTTCACCTGCAGTTAAGAGACGGAAATGATTTTAAATCTTCCCAGAAAACGTGATTCAGCCTTAGTTCACACAACATATGTTAATGGATATGCCAGACTGTACAGGACATGCAGAGTTAATGGTGAGATAACTGAATTTGTAATACAGAATAGCTTGGGAGAGCTCATCCTCTAAAGGTATGTAGGCACCCCACTCCTGTTGATAAATGTTCAAGACCTGGGAGGATTTGGGCCTCAGTGTCAGAGTGCACTTACAGGAGTTACAGCACAAGATGTTTGGGTTTTGGTTCTTTAACTGTTTGCTCAGGTCTTACCAAACTCCCAGCCTGTAACACTGAAGCAGCTTGACTTTTCAACATGCTCAGTTTGTATTTTTCATTGAAATACAACACTATTAAAATGAACACTGCACTTTCTCTCCCCTGTGCATGGTTTTTCCTGCCAAGTCGCTGCTGCATTAGGATATGCGTGCACAAACTCTTCGTTCAAGACAGAGAACACTTCGTTAAGGTGGTATCATAACAGAGTCCTATGGCCTTTGTTCCTTTCTCTCAATATGTAAGTATGGGAATTTAAAGGCTCAAATTAAAATGATGGAGAAACTAGGAAATGAAGTTAACGCCTTTTAGGTACTGCTTCTGAAATGTTCTGAGTTGAAATCAAGGAAATGAACAAACATTAGAAAACCAGAAAATACAGACATAAGGTGGTGGTTTCTGCAAAAGCTAGTAGTGCCACAGCTTTGACCCTGCTGTGGAGAGATGCCAAGAATTCAGCACATCACAGACTGTGTGTTATCCCTTCCTGAAGAGTCGTAAGTAAAAATAAAACAGAATAAAAAAAAACCCCCAAAGAACCTTAATTGTTAAATAACTGCAACTCTAGAGGAATCCCACATTCAATCATGGTTTTCTGAATTATTTTTTTCGCCTTCTACCAGCTCCACATACCTAATATATATGAGACTAGACTAGCTTCATTGCTATAGGGGGTATTCCAAATAATTATGTTTGGCGCTCCATTTCTTTGCGTGTGCATCCACTGCAATCCCAAAATTGTGTGCGCATTTCATGTAGATTTACGTAAGCAGTCTCTAAACCAGATAGCATGGGTACTGACGGCAGAACAACCACAGCAACCTGAACCTCAGCTGCCTAAAGTAATTACCTAAGGACCTGGGTCAGTTTTGCAGCCTGCAGAAGACACCATGCTTCCTCAGCTAAATTGAGGAGGAGCCAAGTTAGCTTTGCTATGTTTACCCAAACTGCAGTACACCCCTGGATTGCACTGGAGACATTGTCAAAAACAAAACAAAAAACAACACATGAAAGTCCTCTGTACTCAAGCACATTGTTGGGCTTTCAAAACAGATGTTTATTTCCAAATATTTTCCCCCTCCTGCCAGGCTTCTGTTTAATCTTTTATTAAACAGAAGTCCCCAAAATTTTGGCATAGAAAACACACTTTACTTATAGTCTGAACTCAGCAATCTTCCAAAAACCTTCTCTTCTTTTACACAAACCTAAGTTTCAGCAGAAACTGAAGATCACTGAATCTCCTCCCCTGCCCCCCTCTCCTGCTGCCCTGTGCTACTTGAAAGTTTCTGGAGGTCATTGTGGCTAAATTCTAGTTCTGACACGTTACCCCATAAATGTTCAGTCTGGAGCCAATATAAGTCCAGTGAAATCCTCCTTCCTTTACTCATTTTACAATCTCCTGTAACAGGCACAAATTAAAAAACAGATAAGCCCTAGTGAATTGTTTTAGCAGCTAAGAATATAAAAGTGGGGTTTGGGTGTTGAAAATCCTGACAGAAAAAAGGGAAATGGAAAATCTTCCATGCGAAGACAAATGAAACCAAAGGACATGAAGTAGATTCAAAAGAAAAAACCCTACATCTAGTCTAGTGCCAAGAATATCAAGTACTTCACCACTGCCTTAGCATTGGGTTGCATTCACAGTAGGAATCATAACTTTGAATTTTGGAATGGGTGACCATGGCATTTTTCTCATAACGTAATGATTTATATTTATCAAAGGCCCTTAATAAACAGACTTGGTAAATGAATCTCTATACGTTCCCAACTTGTTTTAGTTTTTCTAAAGGATTGTATCTTGTTAAAAAAGGGAGACCTTTGGAAAAGCAAAATAATACTCTGTGGTAGACAGCAGGCCCAACTCATGCCAGTGCATGATTTAAGTCCTAATTTAAGGGTTTGAGAGGGACATGGCCAGGCCAAATTTTACCCTGATGCAGAGGGAAAGGGCATCTGCAGAGGGACAGATGATGTCTGTCACCAGATGTGCATGGAGAAAGCTGAAAGGAAAGTTTAAACTAAGAACAGGAAAATTTGGGTTTAAACTGCAAGCTGTGACTATGGGAAACTAGGGTGAACAACAAGCAACTATTAAGGGGATAAAGGAAATCGGCAAAAATCACATCTAAATTCTGACAAGTAAGCAAAAGCATAAGGAAAAATGACAGGCAAGGCCTTGTAGCACAAGAACTCTTCTCGAAGGCTAACAGCAAAGACTCCACAGTGTAAAAGCAGGAAATGAGAAAGGATGTGAAAGAGTATGTGCTGCTTCCTCCACCTGTAATTTCTTTAGTGGATTCTGATTCTGCATCAGGACTTGCTGCAGAAGGGGAAGCTTGGGTCCAATCCCTATCCAGGGACTGACTATTCCATTATTTCATCCAGAGACCATTTTACATGAAGTGCATAAATCAGCCCTTGGAGGAGTGCTGGACACCCAGGTCCATCCCTTTCCCAGGCAAGTGACCTCATCACCGGACTAGAAAGTCCTACTCCTTCTCTCCTTGTTCCAATGCACGGGGAATTCTGTTTTGTACAGCAGTCCGGCTCTCCTGTTCCCTGGGCCAACAATTTAACCACCGAGCTCCTGTGCAATAGAAGGGCATTTCTTTTTGCTCAAAGAGCCTGAGCCTCTTTCTGCTCTTCACTGGAAAAGGACAAATTAGATGCTTCTGTCTAGCTTAGTTTGGGGCTGTGAATCCTGGTGTGACACAGGAGCTTCCCTGCAGTCCAGAATTAGGTGCTTAAGTCCTCAAAAGCGGTGAGATCCAGCCCTGCCATGAGCCTTTCTCATGGGCCCTCCCTGCTCAGCAGGCTGCCTGTTACATATCTCACTCTGAGATACATAATTGCCCCATGCTCTCAGTGAGGAGTTCACTGTACCTAACTCAGGCTGTTGGGATTCCAGTCCAAGAGGCAGGCACCTAAAAGCTGTGACACAGGGCTTGGCAGGGGAAGTACTGCAGATTTAGCCCTTTGTGTGTAACAGCCTCGTGCCTCAACCAAATCTCACAGATACATTTGCTTGTAATGTTAACCTTGTTCATCGACGCTGCAGAAATACTCTCTGTGCCTTGTTCATTATTTGCATTTAATGAATTAACTTGCAAACAGATCTCTTATGATTCCCTTAAAGTATGGAATTTGGAGAAGTGGCTGCAGCACCTTCACGCTTTCAATCCAACTTCCCAAACTGCTCTAGCTTAGAAAAACAAATTGTTTTGAAGAACTAATTTACATTACTTCTTGCAGCCTGTAAAACCAGTTCATGCTGTGTCATCTGAGTCCCGTAACTAACAGTTTCTATGCAGATCTAAATAAACATTAAAAATTAAAGGCACTTCATCTCAAAAGAGCTAGAGTGAAGAACAACTGTACTTCTAATACTATAACAGTCACAGCTCCCCTCCTCGGTCAGTAAACTCCAATTTGACAAGTTGCACACAGGTTAAAATGACATAAAGAAACATACCTTGCCAGTTTTAGCAGCAATCAGACTGTTCTGCATTTTCATAGCTTCGATCACACAAATCTCTTGACCTTCTGAGACCTGGTAAAATTTAAGCAGTACAAAATAAGGAAAGAAGATTTTAAAATGCTCTAAACTCTTTCTGCACAAAACACCTATTTGTTCCGTAGGCACAGTTTATCAAAGACTAAAACATGTTTTGCAGAACAGCTAAACTCAACTCATCACACACAAGTCCACAGCACAATATGATGATGTGCTCTGGGTTGCCACTGGCTAATCAAAATTAGAACAGAGAAGAAGTAAAACATAAAAACACCCTCAAAGTGATCCTCCCCCCACACATCCCGCATTCACAACTTGAACTTTCTACACTCACAGTCTACAGCCGTCATAGTATGACATCAATAAAGGCCAGACCAAAATTTAATTTGTGTGGATTTGGCGGTGGAGCCTCTGCTGTGCTTCCCTGGCTCAGAGCCCAGGGACACTAATCCTGATTCAGAAGCCAAAAGTTTCTTGGCATTAGTCCTGTGAAGCATGGACCAGAGGCTTTGACAATACCCAGCAGACTAGTGCTGAGCAAAAAGTCACACCTTTGCACATGTCAGTACATATATGGTGGCTGATGACTTCAGACGGACTTAACTGAGCATGCTTACAGGGAAACACCAAGCTTTAGCCACAGGGGAGGGACCACAGGGGCAAAATGGTAATTTTCACCACAGCTGATGGCCCTTAAAGAGAAACACTCAAGTTTCCTCTTTCTGCTTGTTTGCACTCTGCTAACAGGCATATGCAAGCCTGAGGTCATGAGCAACCCACTGTGCTGCTCTGCTGCTGGGCTGGCTGTGGCTAGGAGTTAAATTCTCTTTTCGATGCCTTTGACTATGCTGCACAACGGAAACAAGCCACTTGAGGTTTTACCCTCCTTCAGCAGGTTACCTATTTATGAGGAAAAACCAGTGTGGTCCAAAAACTCATCCCTGGCACAAGCCCAAGGACTACAAGAGGACTCTTGGATGCAAGTGATGATCATTCAGAGATGTCAGCCCATGGATTTATGGTCTGGATAGAAGTGGAGCTCTACCCTAAGCTCTAGTAGTAACTCACTGGTAGCTTTGTTTACTGCCTATAAAGGATGTACTTTTCCTGAGATCTCTGGGTGATCTTCATGGACAGCCTTATAGCTTAGATTGCTCAGTGTCTTTGAGCTGTGTCTTCCTTTCTTGAACTGTTCATGTGTTTAAAGCTGTTTAGTTTGAAGGCTGTTTTTGTTGGGCTTTTTCCATACAGGTCCCTTCCAGCCCCTAAAGTCTACGAAACCTATGAAACTATGTAAAGCACGTGATTCACCAGGATGTCAAATTTAGGAATAACCTCCTTGTGAAGGAAGCTGTATGCAATGTTATGCAGGCATCTTCTCTCAGTGCATCACTACCTGGGATATATCTAGGATGAAGGTTTAAACAGTTTGGGAGGATCCTATCCATCAGAGATGGATGAGGACACAGTGAAGAGATCCTGTATATGGATATATTCTCTTGTTTTAACAAGACTTCTCTTAGGAAGATACACGCTAGCAGTATGCGCGTGTCTCAAATGCTGTTTTAAGCTGGAATTAATTGTGTATTTTTAAACAATGGCTGCCAAGCATCAAACTCTACCATGCAGAAGCAGTCAAGCTTCTGAGCAAGGCAGAGAGAAGAAAGTCAGTACTGGACAAAAAAGAAGTGTCTGCAATATCCCCCACAGACTGTCAACAGCAATCTGGAAGTTTTGGAGCAAGTTGTATCACGTTTGCTAGAGAAACACTATGTTGAAATTTGAAGAAACAACCAACACTATAAATACTGCAATTCCATCTTGAGATTCAGGCAACAAGTTTACATCATTAACAGCCTGAGATGCTATGTATAGCATCACACACTTGCTCTTTGTTATGAGTTATTTCCCCTCTATTTTATCTCCACCTGTCTTTTGTCTCTCTTCCTCCACACCTGCTGCTCTGTCTTTAGCCCTTTTTCCAGTAAGTCTCTCTCCTTCCTGCTTCTCATCTTTATTTTCCCCTCCCCTCCCACTGTTATGCTTTTCTTCCATCTGCTCTGAACTCTTCATCCATATCTGAGGTTACGAGTGCAATCATGGGTTTGGAAGCTATTAATGTATACGGTTTGGTTTAAAAACAAAAATCCAAACCTAAATTAAACTAAGAATTTGAAAAGTTTTTCATGGGAATATAAACAAGAGAAATCAAAACCAAACCTAGTTCAGCTATGGCTGAAACTCAAATCTACAAAAGAGCTACAACAGTTCCCATAATGACCCCTCAGAAAGGTTCAGGGCCATGTAAAAGAAGACTGGGCTTCAGAAATTCATAAGAGCTGGGAAATTCAATCCCAGGTCTCCTACTGAGTCAGTGCACTATCAGGGGCCAATCACTTTGGTCATGAGTTTCAATTCTGGGTTCTTCTGATTAGATACCTACCTTACCAGTTATTGGGAGCTCTGGCTAGTTTAGACCTCTGAAAATCTAGGAATTTAGGGCATGGCAATACTACCTCCTCAGGAGGTCAGGGCCATTGCAATGAGGTTTACAGGTCTGTACGCAGCTCCTCACAATATGGATGTAATGCAGTTTTTTTTTTAATGTAATACTGGGAATAAGCCAAAATACATTACATCTGTTTTGGGAGGCAGCAGACTATACCCTAGCACAGGCTACAGGCAGTTCTCAGGCTCAAGCCCTAATTATGGAGTTGGGTGTCTAATTTCAGATGTACACATTGTCAGAAAATTTAGCCCAAACTGAAGTTCCTGTCTCTAAAATAGATCCACTGATCAGCTAGTATGCAAGCTAATCTTTTAGATGTTGTTGCACAGAGCTTTGAAAATGTAATTATTCCTAAAGTGCTAAATAGAGTTGTGTCTGTGCATCTTGGGTGTACTGTACTACAAACAGTATTAAATACTAGTGTGATGGATAAGTGTGAAAACCTGTATTTGGAACCTCCCAGCTTCTGTTTTGTGTTTACAGGATGACTATAAAGAGTTGGTCTTTTATAGGGGAAAAAACACACAGACAAAGTAAGAGTCAACATCCTGTACTCTTGTTAATTTAGAAGGAAGACCGCATTTTCAGTAGGTCCCCGTGTTAAAATGCTGTGACAGCCCTTTTGATAATGAGCAATTTGTTTAAAATTACTTTGGCAAAAATGTCACTTAAGCACAGAAGTTTAATCATTGTCCTTACGTTAAACCTTTATAGCTCCTTTCATTGTGTTGCAAAGCAACAAATCCTAAAATTAGGCACTTGTACCTCTCTATTTTCTCCCTCTCTCTTTTGGGCTTTGTCCAATTTCTTTCATTACATAATTGCATGTATCCTTTAGCCTGTCTGTATCATTAGGCTGTAAATTAAAATCTTAGTGATGTGTATAGCTTTTTCCTCGCTCCCTTATTTAAAGATAAACATGGGCTTTCCAAAATACTGTACTCTTTTCATACGGTTAGATTTCTTCCACTGCATGTTAAAACTATGAAATTCAATTCTGATTTGCAATTATCGTTACATTTTAAATTTACAGTGATGACCAAGATCAGTCAAAACAAATACATAAAAACAAACAAAAAACCAATTTTGATTGATCTGAGCCCAGGAAACTAACTTGTGCTTTTTGGTAAAAAGAAACAAAACAATATCCTTTTTAAAAAAAGTTTTATGCTATACAGAGACCCACTTTTATACTACTTGGGTTAATGTTAACATGGACATGAAAAAAAGTACTTAAACTTGTAAAATGCATTTTTACTGCAACAGCAGATATTTTAATAATTTATGTTTTTAGTTCAGTTTTGTAATTTTATCAAACATCCAAAACGGAAAGAACTGAAGTGAAGGGCACCTAATATCCAACTGTTTCTAACAATTTAGACATGAAATTTAGGAATGGTAAATAACACTGATTGCATAACTTAATCTGAATTTAAAAGAAAATATTACATACAATATATGGAACTGTCTTCAATGCGTTTCTAACCGATAACTGAGGATGAGAAATGGAAGTGGAATTTGAAAAAGAAACAACACCAAACTATTTCCATTATACCAGAGAAGGAGCATAAAGATAATTGTATTCTCAGAGAAGACTTTAAAATACAATAAGACAACTAGTATCTGAGGACATTACCACTACAAGATCTTTATGAGTATAGTGAACTCTAAGACTTTTGTGAATCATTTGATAAAGACTTAATGATTGTGACAGGATGTCTTCTATGTTAGGCTTACAAAATGGTCACAAGCCCCACAAGTCTTTTTGATAAACCCAATCAGCACTGATGTATTTCTCCACTCTGTCTAATTGGTGTAAAGTTTGTAGATCTGAATCCTGTATCTTTCATCCAGCTTACTGCGTCCTCTCCTTTGACATAGGGTCAAGGTTCACATTCGCATCCGATTATCAAAGTGGCACTCATTAAGCAGCAGCCTGCCTCGCACCAAAATGAGTTAGCTTGAAGGAAAACTCAGCCCATTTACTCAGCAGATTTCAGCATTTTAAGGAGGCCTGAATGTCACACAGTATTGCTACATTTTGAAGAGTTTCAGACATCTCCAGCTGATGATTAATTGTGAGTGATGGGAAATAAAATCCAGTAAAGCCAGCTGCTTGCCATGGTCGGCAAAATTACTATAATGGATATAGGCTGCCAATTTTCCAGTTTTACTGGCAAGTCTTCCAAGTGTAATTAAGGGAAGTTATAAATGATATGGAAATCTATCAAGTCCCATTTATTTTCAGAGGACTCTTTCCCCAGAGACTTTTATCTTCAAGCTTATAGTTTGCTTTGTTGTGCTAATGATTTAAACCACTTCTTATTTCTGATTAAAGCCCCCAATATCCTTCATAAGAAGTTAGATCCACTTCTTTCACAAAGATTTAAAGAAACAGAAACCTTTTTAAGTTGTGTTTTGTGAACTAAGCTGAGCCCTTGCTTCCCCTGTGGAAACGTAACAGAATACGCTGCATCCATCTACCTTTTGAGTTTCAGGCTGTCAGTAACCTCAAGGACAGCAAAAA